CGAAGGTTGAGTCTCTAGGATTTAGTCCACTGTCAAGAAGATGACTAAGCTTGCCTTTTCCCTTAGCAGTGGACCGGGTCAACCGTGACCAGCTTAAATAATCCTTACTGTGAAGCGATAAACAACTTAGATTGGTTGAATTCGCTGTTAATTTCTATGGAATTGCCCATGTGGGAATTTGTTCCAGTGATTTGCGACGTTACCTCTAACATCCTTTAATTTTTAGGTAATTAAGATTGAATAAGTAAGTTACTGGGAGGAGATTACCGACTAAATATCGGCTGCATGGCTGGTGGCTGCATGCATAGTATCTGGACAGGGGCTTGGCTACGCTTAGCAGAGGCACCTGGGCAGATTGGTGGCTAGCTTGCGGTTGGCTTCCAGTTGATTGACTGGATAGAAAGCTGTGCAAGGAGTGTGCGCATGAGAAGGAGCCACCACTTTCAGCCTGCGGCTAGGAGCTAGGTGTGGCTGGTCATAGGAGGAGGAGTTGCAGGTTGCAAGTAGGTTGCTGCTGCTGCTGGCGATGAAAGCTGGTCTTGGTTGCTGGTGGCCAGCAGCTAGGAAGTGGTGGCTGGTGGTTGGACTATGATGTCCGGCTATGAAGGCTAGCCCCTCCCACCTCTCCTTAGAGTTTTTTTTTTATTTTTTTATTTCAACAATGAAGGGCGAATAAAATTTATAAAAGTAGTTTAGATTTCTCAATGTAGTGCTCTGATACTATGTCGAAAATTGAATTGTGTATTTTGTTAAGTGTTAGCGCACTATATATTCAAAGTCACTAGTAACCATACAAGAAAACCAAATTAATTCCAAAGATTACGAAGAAGAGGTATATTACCATTATACCTTTTACGCCTACATAATTCATATTCTTCAAGTCACTAGTAACCATGCAAGAAAACCAAATTAATTCTAAAGATTACGAAGAAGAAGTATATTACCATTATACCTTTTACCCTACATAATTCATACTATTAACTTAATGTATGACACTTCTTGGAAAGTTTCATTATGGGTTTTATCCAGAATAATTTGCGTATAGTGAAAGAGGACTTAATGGCTTTGTTTGTAAATCTTTTCGAGAATGGATCCTTCATATCTAGTCTTAACTCTGCTTTCCTAGTGTTATTCCCCAAAATAGCACAACCGTCAACATCAAAGAACTAAACCCATGAGCTTGGTGGGTTGTTCACAAACTTATTGCTAAGGTGTTGGCTAGGAGTTTGGGTAGAGTGGTGGACTGTTTGTGGGGTGAGTGTTAGTATGTCTTTTGGGAGAGTAAACGAATTTTGGATGTGACTTTAATTACAAACGAGGTGGTGCATGCGTGAAAGAGTAGGGGTTTGGAGGGTTGATTTTCAAGCTTGAATGGAGAAGGTACAGAGACATCTGTGTAGAAGGTTTCTGTTTTATATTTTGAAGAGACTTGGGTTTGAAACTAATGGTGTTGGGTTAGATCTTGGGTGTTCTTACCACTTCTTTGGCAGTTATTGCTAATGGTGGCCCATCTGATTTCTTTAGGATTTCACGTGGTCTCAAGCATGGAGGCCTTCTTTCAATACTCTTTCCAAGGCTTGATGGTGGGGAGCTAGGTGGAAATTGATATAAAATATCTACTTTTTGCCCAAAAGACCTTATGTTGTATACCCAATTGCAAGACTTTCAAGCTGTTTAGGGTGTAAGGATTAACTTGATCAAATCTGAGAAATTCTCTTTTGGAGAGGGTTCCCATGTAACAATCCAGAAAAAGAAAAGAAAAAAAGTCAAAATGACACCGTTTTGAATTAAAAAAAAAAAAAGAGACCAGAGTCATGTTTGTCTCAGGTCGGAGAAGAGGAGATGGAAGAGGCCTCCGACAAAGAATAAGGGGAGGAACCCTGCACATTAGACGGACAGAGACGTGCAAAATTCCTCTCATTTCTCCCTATAAAAGGGAGAGCTGCATGGAAGAGAGAGAGAGAGAGTGGTGTGAAGAGAGAGAAAGAGATTTGTGTAGAGAGAGAGAGAGAGAGAGAGAGAGAGCGAGAGAAAAAGGGAGTCGTGGCTACCACTGACCTGCACAAGGCGGTCTGAGATGGGTACAACTTTCCTCGCGACAAGTAGAAGAGTTGAGATGGCCCTGCAACCTGCACGATTGGAAACCAGAAGGAGAATCACGCGATGACATGCATCCGGAGAAGAAGGAGATCCGCAGCAGTTGGTTGCGTGATTCCGCATATCCCTGACTCCTTCAGGTGCAATTTTGCCATATACGTGCCAGATCTATATGCGTGAAACATTTCGCGGCGAATTTCGGTCGATTCACGGTGGTTTACGACGGTGCACGGTGGTCCAGAGGTGACACTCTGGCAGTGGCACGTTGTGAACCAGGAACACGCATGTGGTAGCGCATGGCGATTTCGGTGACTGGGATTGCGTGTCTATGGTAAAATCTCGATCCGCTTTTATATTCTAATTATTTTCACAAGTATTCGTAATTTAACTCACGTGTTTTTGTTTGTAAACGAGGGAATTATCTAAATGGTAGTCGGGATTTAGAGAAGACCGTAGACTCGAATTAATAAGGATTTTGACACTTTCCGATTCGATTGTAGGTAAGGGATTGAGTTAGTATCATTCAGAGTCCCTCATATTTTTATAAAGCTTTGTTCTGTTAAAATAAATTGTTTACCAACTTTACAAACTATCTAAGTTTTCTAACGTGATTTTCGTGAACTCATCGTGTGTGTGTTTGTGCAATTGCATATGATTGGAGATCTATATGATGTTGTATATGATTTATGTTTATATATGCATATTACTACTAGTGTGTGTGCAGATTTTATGCAAGCCAGTATTGAGTTATAGGTTTGCATGACACATACATATGTATAATTGTATGTTGTATAGCGTATGTATCTATGAGTGAACAACTTGTATATGCATGCTTATAGAATACGTATATGTCTTGTGTAAATGCGAGTATGCTTATGTTGTATGTGTTGCATGTATATATATTTATTTAAGTTGATAACTGTGCATATAAAATGTATATATTATGCTTATTGCGTAGGTATATTTTTGTATAATATATATGATGTATATGTAGGTGCAGGCACAAGTAGGTTATCTAATGATGGATTTGATTAGTAAAAGAATAACATAAGAATATTTAAAAGACGAAAAAAATCTGTTTAACCAGTATCAACGAAGGGAGTGTGTGCGTGTAGTCATTTTGATAGGTGAAGTATAGTGAACCCTACCCGTGGATATGACCTCAACCAGACGTGACTGGGAAGTCCCACATATAACCGTTCCATATTCGGGTATATGTGGAAAGTGAAAAGTGAAAGTGAAAGTGAAAGTGAAAAGTGATATGTGATGTATTCACGTGGTAGAGGAGATTCTTAGTGCCCTTGTTGATGCCGGCAGAAATAGCATCTCGCGATGAAACTATTAAAAGAAGAAAAAATAGATATTATAAATCTTAATAAAAATATAACTGAAAATAAAAGTATAATTAAAAAGTAATAAGTGAACAATGTAAGGTGAAAATAATATTGACATATGTAATGATAAGTAATTCGGTGACAAGTGCAAGTGATTGTCAGAAAGTGCAAGTGCAAATGTTTTGAAACCAATAAACAATATTATTTGTTTTTGTTCCCGTCCCTGTTTGTGGCTAAAAAGCTGGTGGCAATCCACTGCCATTTCAGTGCTGGGATTTGAAGAAGCAAATGTGGTTTCATTTTGCTGCCTGGAACTCAGTTAATCTTCCCATTCAGAAGGATGGTCTTGGATCCATGGCTGAGATCAACATGGCTCTCCTTGGTAAATGGCTATGAAGATTTTATGTTAAAGCAGGAAAGTTTCTGGTGGAGGGTGATTAAAACCAAGTTCAAGATGGAGTCCTGGGAGTTTAGGCTTAGGCCTTTTTGATTGCTTCATGGTGCAGGGGCTTGGGAGTTTATCAACTCAGCTTGGAAAGATTATAATGGTGCTTTAGTTGGAAGATTTGGTTGAGACAGGGTGAGTTTTTGTTGATTGATTGAAGTGTAGGAGGGCTCTCTAGCTATGTTTTCCCTCAGTTTTCTTGTTTCCCAGAGTTAAAGATTATACCGTGGCTGAGATTTCTTCTTATGCCTTTAGCTTCAGTGTATGAATTGTGAATTTGGTTATAATCTAAAGAGTGGGAGTTGGATAATTATATTGATCTTGTTCGGTTTCTCTTTCTTCGTGGAGGCCTGCACAAGGGTGTTGCATTTGGAAGTTGAGTTCTAGTGGTGTTTTTTCAGTGAAATCTTTTTACCACCATTTGCTGAGTAGTTCTCCTGATAGTGGAACCTAGTCCCGAAAAACAAATTTCAAAAGTAAAATGCTTCCCCTAGAGTTGCATTTTTGCTTAGAAAGCAACAAGAGGAAATATTTTGATTTTAGACAACTTCAGGAAAATGGGAGAAGTCCTTGTAAATGGTTGTTATTTATGTAAGAGGGTGGCTGAATCTCTAGACCACCTTTCATGGTGCCCCATACTTTTCAGGTTCTGGTGCTTTGCTTATGGTATCTTGTGAGTGAACTGGGTAAGGCAGGCTCAGTGGCTGATGAAATTTTGCTTGAAGAGGGCATCCCTAGTGATAAGGGTAATAAGAAGTTATTGTTCTTTATGCCCTTGGCTACCTTTAGGGTAATTTGGAAGGAAAGAGATAGGACTTTTCAAGGTATTGAATCATCTTTTCATAGAACTAGAGACAGATAGTTCTGGATGTTTTGCTTTTTGATTAAGGGTATCCTCTTAATTTTGTTGAGTATTCAAGGGACTTTGTTGATATTTTGATTTATTTCTAAAGCTTGATTTTTTTGTGGTTGGGTTGCACCATTGCAGTGCCCTAGTAATATATTACTTATGTTTCTCTCTCAAAACAAAACAGTTGAAGGAGTTTATTCGTGCTGCAAGAATTGGCAATCTTCAGAAAATGCCCAGTATTGACATAACCTATTTTTAACCTTGCTGTAATCAGGTTTGGTACAGTAATCCGGTTTTAAGAGATTGGTTGAAGAATAATGCTGATGCAACACAGCTAGACAAGCTAAAGTGGGCGTATTATTTGATCAACAAGAGTCCATGGTGAGTCTTAACTGGGATAAATGTTATTTAATTGTCTTTTTTTTGGAATGGATGTCAGTTCTTATGTGTGTTTCAGGGGGAAGGAGCGTTTGGGACTAACGGAATATGGTTAGGTATTTATAATGCTTTATTGAATAATTGAGTTTCTCAAAAAATGAAATCAAAAGGGTATTTATAATGCTTAGTAAGTAACTTTTTTCAAATAAAATTAAACTAAGAAATCCTAATTCTAACAGGAATAGTAGAATTAAATAATTAAAAAGAATAAAATTCTAAAGTTATTAATTTTTTTTATTAGAAAAGAAGCTTTATCAAAGAAAGAGAATAAAAGAATACAATCAAGGAGACTAAGGCATTGTTCACTCGAAGCAGAAGTAGAAAAGATAAAGTAAAAGGCCTGTATGTACTGGAAATAGACACATCTCAGTTTTGATGGAGCTCAGATATGCTTATGCTAAGGACAGTGGCATGAGCTTTAACCCGTAATGTAGCTAGAAAAGTTACAATTTGTAGGATGATTGAGGCTAATCATTAAACATCTGACGGTTTCTGGCAAACCTGCAGAGGGGTTTAGTCCCTTTAATCATTCCCACCCATTTAGATTCTAAAATTACTTAAGTTATATAACATACTTCTAATAAAATTTTATATTAGAAAGAATTATAATTTCTGTCTCAGTTATGTAATCTAAATTTAATCCATTTTACATCACTCTCCCCTAGTTGGAGGAAACTTGTCCACAAGTTGAAGTGGCAAATGATGTGGATTTCATTTTCAAGCTTACCAATGCATTTTGCTTTTTGATTTCTTGATTTTTATGCCAATAAAATCAATTTTTTTTGAAGAAAAATTTAAGAGTAAATTAGAATGGCACCAAAAGGGGTACCGCCCGTATACATAAGGATTTACAGTGAAATAAGGATATCAATGACATCCCCAAAATTTTCATCTCTAATGATGTCATGCCCCGATATGAAAGAACCAAAATATTTAAATCATGTATCTTTAAGTTTGTAGCTATCGACTTCTACTCCCTTAAAGGCTCTGAAATTCTTCTCTTTCCAAATGACCCAAAAAATAGTCAAAGAAATAATCTTTACAATATTCTTTGTAGATTGAATCTCACCCCAAGCCCAAACTTCAGCCAGCACCGAGCTCGAAGAGACCCAAAAAATACCCAATAAGTTATAAATCATGCACCACAGCTCATACACCACTGGGCAGCTGAGAAGTAGGTGACAGCAGGTTTCCTCTGCCTCTCTGCACACGAAACAGCAATTAGCCAGGATCAGTCCCCTCTTTTGTAGTCTGTCTAAAGTCGGAATGCTTTCCCTGCATGCTTCCCAGCCAAAAACTGCAATTCTCGGAGGTAATCTGGCTTTTTTCAAATCTGCATGTGAGGAAATGTATGCCCGTTGGAATCTTTGTCAGTAATCCATTTATAATATGATGACACAGTAAACTCCCCCTGTTTATTCAGCTTCCAGATAACATGATCCGATTTAACACTGATTTGGCAATTAGCAATCAACTCCAACAACTCCAGATAATCCCCAACTTCCAGTCATTCAAATTTTGTGTTACATTAGCCGACCAAGAGTATCTGCCATTCACCAAAGAATAAGCACCCTCAACACGCATATTTTTATCCTGTGCGATTGCATACAGATTTGGAAATCTGTCTCATAGGCATTCCCCATCAATCCATTTATCTTGCCAAAACCTGATGATATTGCCTCTGCCTAACTGCCACTTAATGCATTCTTTGAAACGAGGCCACTCCTTAATGTTCTTCCACAGACCTAAGCCATGACCCCTTCTGTCTCAGCCCCCAACTCCTTCAAGAGCAGCCCCACTCCATCTAGCTTCAATAACCTTTTTTCACAGCTTTTGTATCTTCCTTCATGTACCTCCATAACCACTTGCCTTTTAACGCTATATTCATTTCAATAAGAGATCAAATTCCCAAACCTCCCTCCATTTTCGGTTTCTTAATTTCTGTCTATCTACCCAAGTGATATGTTTTCTTTTCTTCCTCATCACCCCAAAGGAAGCAGCATTGAATGTTCTCCAATCTTTTAGCAATGCAACATGGAATGATTAGAATGGAGAGAGAGTTGATGGGAAGGTTAGCAAATGTGTTATTTATGAGGGTGAATTTACCACCTTTTGATAGAAACTGCCTTTTCCATCCATCTAATTTTGATTCAAACATCTTCACCACTGGATCCCAAGTTGTCTTATCTTTAAGTTTTGCCCCCAGTGGGACACCGAGATATCTGATAAGTAAATAAGCAGACTTTCATTCTAATATTCTAGCAAAACTGTCACCATCACTGTTGCTGCCCACCCTAACAAGTTCAAATTTTTGGAGATTAATATTGAGGCTTGACACATCTTGAAAGCACAAAAGAAGACTCTTGAGATACAGCGAGCCTCTCTTTTCAGGTTGGGAAAACAACAGTGTATCATCTGCAAAAAATAAGTGTGAAATCTCCATTTTGTTGTCTCCTCTGCGAACTGTTACCCCTCTAATTAGTTCAAGATCTCTTGCTCTGTACATCAGTTCATTTAAAGCCTCCATGGCAACAATAAACAAAAATGGAGAGAGTGGATCTCCTTGTTTTAAGTCCCTAGAAACTGCGAAGAATTTGGAAGCCCCTCCATTAATTAAGACTGCGAAAGATGAGGTAGACAAACACACTTTCATCCACACCCTCCATTTATTCACAAAACCCATCATTCCAAACATATAATTAACAAATTCCCAGCAAGCATGATCATATGCCTTTTCCATAGCCAATTTGCAAATCAGGCCATCAATTTTATTCATGACCAGCTCATCAACCACTTCATTTGCCACAAGTATTGCATATTGAATTTGTCTCCCTTCCATGAACACATGTTGACATTCACTAATTACCTCACCTAATACTTTTGCTAGCCTGGCTGTTAAAACTTTTACAATAAGTTTATAAATGCATCCCACCAAACTTATAGGTCGAAAATCATTGACAAGCTTCGCCCCCTTTTTTTTTTGGCAATCAACACAAAAAAAGTGACATTAAGGGACCTAACAAACTTCCTATTTTGGTGGAATTCCTTAAAAACATTCATAACATCATCTTTAATCACATCCCAATAGACTGGGATGAAATTCATGTTGAATCCATCCGGCCTTGGGGCCTTGTCACCATTGCAGCATTTTAAGGCCGCAAGCACCTCCTCTTCAGTGAAAACAGCCTCAATATTCTGCCTGCTATCCATGTTGATATTCTTGAAAGATAAACCATCAAGTCTCGGTCGAATCCTGAACTCTTCTTCATATAACTCTTTAAAGTGTGTCATGACAGTCTCTCTCATCTTATCATTCTCACTGTATTTCACTCCCTTCACCCACAAATCATCAATGTAATTGCATTGCTTTCAGTAGCTAGCTAAAGCATGAAAATATTTAGTGTTCCTATCACCTTCTTTTAACCATTTCTCCCTAGATTTCTGTCTCCATGTCTCTTCTTCAATTTTGGCATGTCTAGCCACCAACATTTTTATTTCATCCCACCTACACAATTCTCTCACCGCAAGGCCTCTACTGCTTTCTTTATCATCCAATTCCCCTATTTCCTTCAGTAAGCAACCCACAGATTCATCTTCCTTTTTCAGTTCCTCATTTGTCCACTCTTTTATGTCATTTTTTAGCATTTTCAATTTACATGCAATTCTGTATGAAGCAGTACCAGTTACCTCAAAACCTTTCAACTTCTCCTCCACCAATGCCCTGAATTTTGCCTCATGCACCCACCTGTTGTCCAGCCTAAAAGGAACCGGACCCCACTGGATACCATCAGTGGAGAGACAAATGGGGTAGTGATTAGAGATTGCACGCTGAAGTANNNNCACCCAGTAACACCCCCATTTCATTTTACAAATATATAATTCTTTCCATAAAAGTTCCCTCTCCTCCTTATTTCCTCTACAGTAAATCTTAGAAAACACCCATTCTTCCCCTCCCCTGCAGCTCTTAAACAAACAGGACAGAGAGACTTCACCAATAAGGACATCCATGCATCAAATACGATTTTCATTCCACATCACCACAATCCCCCCCACAGCTCTTTTGGCTGGCACACAATGGCTGCCGACACTTTCAGTTTCCAGATACTCTTTAATAAATTGCTGTCACATGATTCCATTTTTCGTTTCCTGTAATAACGGTGCCTTCCATCTACCCAGACAGCTCTTGATCACTGTCCTCTTCTTAATGTCATTTATTCCTCTAACATTCCAAGACACAATTGATCATTGTCCTCTTCTTAATGTCATTTATTCCCCTAACATTCCAAGACACAATTTTTTCAAACATTAAACTTGATTCTGTTAGAGTTTCTAGCTCCCTCCATTTCCTTCTTCCTCCCATCATAATTCACAGCAAATTTTAATCTTTTCAGCTCTCTCGGAATTCCTCCCTCGGCTTTTTTCTTCCCTTTCGTCCCACTTTCTTCAATCTTTTTTCTCTCAACACGGCTTTTATAAATTTTAGAGAAGAAAACAAATACCTAATCTTCCATCCCATCCAGTGATACACTCATCATCTTACTGAACTTTTGAATATTCTGTAAGACCCAACCCGAACTACTTCCATCTGCTTGCCATTCTGGGTCCTTGGGTTGGAAGAACACACTGATCACTTTCTCATTCTCGGTCAATAACTGAGCATCCAAGGCTTGTACCTCCTCTTCTATCATGACAATTGCTTGCTTGTTACCGCTAGGGTTTTTCTCTTTTTCCTTATCATCCATGTTTTCAACCTTATTTTTCGATAGCTCGTCTGCCATCCCCTCGTGAAAATTTGCAACGTGTCCTTTGAATAGTCGAACAAGCGTCAACTCCTTATCGTTGATTTCATTATTGCAAGCCTTCTCTGATACATCTTCCTTATCCTGCTTGTTCCCCAATATAACATCTGTCAATACTTTCTCCCCTTTTGTACCCGAGGGCCCTCCACGCACAGTTTTACTACCAACAGGCTTCTAAACTGGCTTATGGACCCCATATCTCCTCTTCAGCCCTTCCTCCATCAAGCCCGTGTCCTTGATAACTTTGCCTTTCTTTTCACGTGTGTTTCGTCTCATGCCCCTCGATCCAAAAGAAGTTGGGCCAGGACCATTAAAACTATAATGCTTTGGGCCATCCTCCAATAACTTTCGCGGGCTGGGTCGGGTTGACTGTCCGCTCCTACCCACATTATTCATGGAACCAGTTTGCCCTACTCGTATTTCAGCATATCTTACAGAGTTGAGCGCCACTACGTAGCTTTGGCCTCCCCCCATTGCTTTGGAAAATTGGATCGACGCTTCACAATACGGACAGTTAAAGTAAGCCAAACAATGTTCGTTCCGAATCAAGGTCCTCTCACTTATCAAATCCACCTTCCTCTCCAAACATTTTTTGGATTCCAGTTTAACAACCTTTTGATTAGCCAGTTCGAAAGCCGCCACCATGAAAAGCCACCAACCTCTTCCCTGATACCCATCCGAGATAAATATGCGCCTTGTCTTCCTTTCCCAAGATTCCGAGATACGCACCCCTCCTATTTTTACCAAAAGAAATCCACAAGTCTCGATTGTGGCCTCAAAAATATCTCACCCAAGGCGTCTCAATGTTGTACTAGTAGAACTCTTCGAGAACCGTCAACAGCCATTCAACTTTCACCTTTCCCAAAGATATCGAAGTTCAGAAGCCACTACCATTCTCACAAATTCGCAGTCTATCCATTTAACTTCCCTCACTGACCAAATCAAGAGATTTATTCTCGATAACCAAGAATCTCCGGTCATTCTGAGCTCCCATGTTGACCCCTAGCCTTCGCATCATACCCCATGCACCTCGCTATACATATAGGAATTGGTCGGCCATAATGGCCGACCCAACCTGCCCAAAGCTTGTTTTTGTGTGTTTCTAATGAATTAACGGAAGTAGGAAAACTGATAGAAGGAAAGGCTCGGTTTTGGAAAAGTTAGAATGAGTGAAGATTAGAGAAGATTTTTAGAGAGAGAAATGGCAGAAAGCCCTAGCCTTTATGCCAATAAGATCACAATCTGCTATTTAGAAGAGAAACCAATTTTAGGTGCTTTTAGGACTAAAGACCAAGAATGCTTGCTTTGAACTTCCAGAAAAATGTTAAATTACTTGGGAATTCTATTAAACAGCTTCAGTGCATAATGTTTCTGGACAAAAATACTCGACAAGAGAGAGGAAATATCAACTACGGAACTTTATAGTTTAATAGTTGCAACAATTTTTATTACAACATTAGCATCAATTTAGTTAATAATTCACATATCCATGACAACTAAAGATTATTCGATCCAAGTTCCTACTTGTCTAAATTATTTTCGGAGAAGCCCTATGCCTAGAAAAGCAAAATTGCAAAATTTCTTCGCGAGAAACTACCTTGCCTCAATGAACTTCACACCTGTCTTCACCACTTGCATACCCTTCTTCATGTTGCATTAGAGTTATGATGGGTAGTGCCACTACTAAAATTCCATGCATTAATCCTCTTTTCTAAAATTTTTTTAATTTTTTTAAAGAAAAAATATTATTTAAAAACTACCTTGCCTCAATGAACTTTCCACTGTCTTCACAACTGGCATGCTCTTCTTCATGTTGCATTAATTTTTTCTAAATAAGAAATATTATTTAAGAGGGAGAAAGTTGTTAAAACAGAGTCTGAGAGGATAAGATATATTCCAAGTACCAAAAAAAAAAAGCACAGGAGATGAAAACAAAGAACACCAAGACAGAATACATGGCCAATTCCATATGTAAAAAGTATAAGTCAACCTCGGAAAGATACCATGGGCTTTTGCACAAGTCCAACTGAAGTACTTTATCCCAAACTGTGGAACCAGTTGAAATTATTGCTTAAAAATTCTATTATAACATTCCAACCAACTGAGCCATATAGCAGCAAAGATAGACAATGTCCAAAAGATCTTATGGTTAGTCTTTCCAACTAAGAGGAGACAAAAATATCCAAATTAGAGGTTGAGACCCAGACCTTGCCAATCATAGTGGACTACCTTGACCACTTTATTCTTTTTTCCTTTTCATGATTCCAGCTGAGATAGTTGAGATATTAGTAGGATGCATCAAGAGGTTTTTATGGACAGGTGGAAGGGAGGAGAATAGGGATCACCTAGTGGAAAGGAAGGTGTGTGCACTCCAAAAGTTCAGGGGACCTGGTTATTGGGAATCTTATATCAAAGAACTTATCTCTATTGGCTACATGGTTATGGCACTTTTCATGTGAATGGAAATTCTTACGGCATAGGGAGACAAATAGTGTTTATGACAGCAAACGTTGGGATGCCATAGCAGAGTGATCCACTACTCACCAAAGTCCTTGGAAATCCATTTCCCATGCCCATTCTTTCTTTGCCCCACTCACATGACTGCATATTGGAGATGGATCTAGAGTGATATTCGGATAAGATACATGGGTAGGGAAATCAACCATTGGCCACCAAATTTCCTAGACTATAGGGTCTCTCTTCCAAACACAATGCCCATGTATCCATGTCACCAAGAATGCTGAGGGGAGAATAGCTTGGAACTTTCACGTTAAATGTAACCTACCTGGGAGACTTCTGATATGTCATCATTACTAGCCATGTTGGGACCCATTCAACTTTCATCCCAGCTAGATAGCAGATCCTGGATCCTTAAACCTTAGGGTTTATATACTTGAAAGTCGTTGTTCAATCACCTAATTGAAAACCTCATCTATTCCCAATTTCATATTTCCAAGGTATTTTGGAAAGTGTCAGTACCTTTAAAAGTAAAGGTGTTTTCATGGACAACCATTCATAAGAGACTTAATACAAATGAAATGCATCAAACCCATGCCCTCAGCCTTCTATCCAGAAGTTTACGTATTGTATTTCAGAGGAGTTGAGACCCATTCCCACCTTTTTCTATTTTGCAACTTAGCCTGGAGCATATGGACTAATTTTATGAAATTGCTCGGTCTGAACTGGGTAGGGTCCCCTATAGTGGAGAAGTTTATTTGCTCTAACATTTATGAGTAGGAACGAGGAAAAAAGTTAAAGCTGTATGGCAAAAAGCAATATTTGCCGAACTATGGTGTATTTGGTTTGCAAGAAACAGTTGAATTTTCCATGGCCTTACTACTTAGATGAAATTTAGAGGACACCTTTCCTTTCAGCATTATGGGCGAAGGCACACGGACATTACCCTCACATTTGTCTCACCGTGCTCCATTGGAATTTGAAAGCTATCATATATAGGTGTTAGGATACTACTATTTTGTGATTGTAGTTTTTTTTTTATTCTCATTCTTTCGTGTCCATTTGAGGAGGA